ATATATATATATACTAATTTCACTTTCAGGTAAACGTTTTGAAAAGCATTTTGGGCGTTTTGCAAAACAACTTGGACACATTGCATTCTGAGCAGCAAATCTGCAATTTGAAAGGAATGGGAAGAAAGGCGACACACCATGTTCAGACTGCTTTGTAGTCATGCAAATGCAGCCGAATTGTGTAAACAGCGGGTGTCACTACTAAACCCTCTCTTGATAATGAACCTCGATCAAAGGCGGTAACCGAGTATCGCCTCTCTCTCCCCATCGGTCTTCGCGTAGTTTATTTGCCTCTGACTTTACACATGGACCTGTGTAGCTGTGTGACTATTGGAAAGTCAGGCTCCCCAATCGCGTAGTCTATTATGACTTAAACACATGTTAACTAACAATGGACGGTTGATGTGAAGCACACGTTCTGAGAATGGATTACGATGCGCAGTCACAATGTGGATCACGATTCCCATGAAAGTAAACCTTGGCCAAATCGATCACTGAGACCGTAACTGAAAAAGCAGATAGGCGGCGACCCAGTAGGCACCTGTCACTGTATAGGCCTTCGAGTATTTTGGGTGGGTGTGTGGGCGAACCTAAGCAGATGCACGACTCTTGCAACAGTGTAGGTCATCATGACTCCCCCAAGCCCACTCTTGCTTTACTGTCGTACTGCTGCAGTTCGGTATCAAGGAGAAGGGAGTAACGCAACTAGACGATGTTCAGGTCACATAGTAGTCCAGCGAATGCAACGGAACTGTGCATATATATATATATATATATATATATATATATAACGTATAGGCCAGGCTAGTAAGTCAAACTCATTTGTGTAACCGCCCAGCAAAGGGCCGGAGCAGAGTTTTGAGAAATAACCCTCTAATTCGCGAATGCATAAGGAATTACGGTAAACACGAAGGGACAAACATTAGGAGTAACTGTTAGGCCATCAAGCATCACGGCGACAGAGACCACATCATTCATGCAGCTATGGTGCTTCCCCTAGGTATCCATACGATTGCAACAGACCCAATCCAGGGGACAGCGCGTGTGAATTGCTGGCCTTTTAGTAAAGTAGGATAAATCCGAAAGCAGCCCGATTCATAGGGATGAAGTGGTTGGAACTCGCAAAGGACCACTAATAACCCTCCCTAGCAATCAGCTTTCGATTGTCAGTCACCAAAGCCGTAGTTTCCCTGTCATTCCCATGTTGGCAAATTTCGTTGTTGGGGATCAAGCATAATACGGCGATAAGCGAGGCCATTTCCTCAATCAAAGCCTTAGGTTAAAGGCGTGAAGTAACTTAGAGATCAGACTGTCCGAAGCGTCGTGACACCAATCAATAACCGGTATACTCCAATGCAAAACACACCACATGCAAAACAAGGCGACATGACGCGCTGCGAAGTACCGGAACAATGCACAAAGTTATATGGTAGAAAGATGAACCCGAACTCGTGCTGAGAAGGAGACGAGCACATGAGGATGCCTGCAGAACATCCAGGACAAACTCACCATCATCAAGTTCAATAACTTTCGTCTCCTCGAGTAAAGATTCCAAATTCACACTGCCATCCACAGTCGACAATCCACCCGATGTGATGGCAGCTGTGGCGGGAAGTGCCCGCAGTTTGACGAATACTGGTTCGGCTGGAGTGTCATGTTGTGTCTGGGCTTCAGACGGAGGTAGTTTTTTGTCGATCGTTACATCTGCATCCTCAATCGAGTTAGATTTGTCGAGGTTACCAGATGCAAGAGAGTCTGTATGAGTTAAAATCCAAAATAACGAAAGTGAGTGAAGATGGATAAACAAAATTGGCGGCTATCGACATTTGTGGATCCAGACTGCTAACCACCCATGATTATGAAGGTACCAGCACTTCTGGGAGAATGAGAAAAGCTCTTGCAAAAACTTTGACAGCTATACAACATACAGCAACAAGGTGAGAGGATCATTCTGAAGGACATGATTAAGCGATGACTGAGACTGGAAACCCCAGAGGGCAAGAGATTGCAAACGTTCATCGGAATTAATGTGTTTGAGGTAAGAAAAGCCAATAAAGTTAAGAGCACAATACTCAGCAGTGTAAGACCGACTCTACGTCAAACAAGCCATGGTCTCCACGATATTCGTAACAAAAGTGAAAGTAACAGGAGCAATGGTGAAATACCGTGCTTCAAAGACTAAGTGCATGATGGTGATATTAACCCAACGAGTGCATACATCAAGGCAAGAGGATGGGTAATAATAGTCTGGGAGTAAGTGGCAATGAGGAGCACAGGTGTCGTGACCACATTTAGCGACAAAATGAGGTAACGCATAACTAACACGTAACAACACACTTTCTGATGTGATGACAATGGATCAGTGTTGGATTGTAGAAATAACTTGCTGCGGTGCGTTGATAACTGCCGGAGTAGTGTACTCCATGAATACCCATGAAGAACGAGGTCGAACAAGATACTTAGAACACGATTTGTCAAAACAGCATGAAGCGTGAGAGCCTAGGAAGTGTGCCCATGGTTTATACAGGCGGAACCAACACACCAATACGATTTATCGATGGTACTATCAAGAATGGCTGAAAAGCGTTAGCGAAAACCACAGCAAATGAATTTCCGGAGCATCCAGACAGACCAGTGGAAGTAACTTACTAGAATCCTTCGGAGCAGGCGTGTGTTCACGACACCCACGACGCCCGGAACCGGTGTCCAGGTTAGTCTCGGACCTCCTGGGCCCGCACTCATCCCCTGTGGCGGGCTGTTGTATTTGTAGAGGGAAAACCAAACGAAGAGGTTCAAACAAAGCTTGGTCCTCCTGAGAATCCCGTCCGTTTGTTTTACATTGTTTGGGCAGGCGCGCTCGCCCAAGACCAGTCTCATATGCTATCCGACGGCGAAGCTCTTCTGCCAAAAGAAGACTGTGTAATCGGTAGAGTACGCTAGGGAGACACACCGCCTTTCGCCAGACTGGGGAGAAAAAAAAAAGAGACTCGCAGACGTGACACTTCTGGAATACGGCAAGCTGTATGTGGAAAAGCAGAGTGATGGCGAAAGCAGCAACCATATAATAAAACAAACACTAGGTAGCGTCTCTCAAGGGCCAAAGGAGTTGCAGAAACAAGGCCGAAAGTGCATACCAAGACCGTGAGTTCGCCCAATAGTCTGGAAGAGAAAAAGTAATGCTACAACCCCCAAGAAATATTGTGCGATAAGGATCGGTTTCAGCACCAAGACACCATAAAAAAGAACAGAAACAAAGATTACGAGCGAAGAGTTGTAACGCTGTTGCGCGAGGCAAACGATGATAATGACAATGACCGATGTTGGAATGGGAATGAGAGAAGCGATACCAGCACACAGGCGGTGGTGGTAGGGGTTCCATAGCAGTGAGGCGAACGTACCAGAGGCAGGGAACGGATGGCGAAAACACAGCTCTGGAATCAGAATTTGTTTGTGCGTCAGGTTCTCTCGTTTGTCTCGTTTGCGTGCATCCGTCGTGCATGGTAGACAATAACCACGAGAATTTATGTAACGCGGAACTAGCAAATTGAGTCGCAAAACGGTGAAATCCACGTCCAATAATGGTTGGTCCATGGTGGTTAAAGTGGCCTCGTATTTGTTAGCGTAGTAACTGGCGAAATCCGGATAAGCAGAAGATGGAAACGGGGACAGGGGGCTAAGGTCGTACCTAAAGTGAGACGGAACAATAAGAGGTGCACGTAGGCGGTAGGAATATATGGCATCGGGTGAGGTCATCGAGAGCAAAATGCTACGAATTCCAAACAGTCAGTGAGCACATACGCAAGCGCCGATGACACAAACTCAGGCAACCATGGAGAAGTGTTGGTTAAAAGACAAGTTATGCTATATCAGGCGGAAGAGCCTATGGTCTGATGAGGCTGGTGGTAGCTAGATCCTGACAGATGGTCTACTCAATGCTGCTACTGCTGTGCTATGGGTTCATGTCCTGGACGACTCCTCGTGGCGACCGTTGGGTGGGAGTTGGGTTTCGCCCTTCTCTCTGTAAAGATATCCGCGTAGGGGTGGGCGTCCTCGCGGTATACTCAGCCCGCGCGCGACTAGTGGTGGTCGCGCGGCAGCGAAGCGCCGTTACGGCGTATAAGCTGACACCTCTGCAAAGATCCAGGACACCAATCCGCATGAGTCAGTGAATTGAGCATGTGCTAGACCCGCTGCCTTTCGGCTGTACATTTAATCGAAGACTTTGGCTGAGGACCCGAGTCGTTCTCCTCTCAGGTGCGGACGTCCTGTCAGCATCCTAGTCCATCCTCTTCGGAGGTTAGCAAGTGGTCGATGGTCCTGTTTCCGTAAAACCTTGCTATTGGGAGACAACAGGTCTACGGGTTATAAGCTCACAGCTCGATTGGCGTAGAGCACGAGCGCCATGCATTGTCTCTGACGGTGGGAGGGCACCTCCGGGTGTTCAATGGTTTGCTACTACCCGCCTCAAGCCAGGCAGCCCCTGGTCAAATGGGTGCAAACCCGCCAAAACTCACCTGCGTCTGGCCGTAGTCGCAGCTGCGTATCCTATTACGGTCGCAAAACATATATGAATCGTTCCATGACCTCAAACTCCGTGTGTGACGGCTGTCAGGCAGAGCCCAATCTGCCTCGGTAATCACATTCACGAGCTGGAACTGCTCCACACTGCCTTGTGGGTCACGCTATTGAGCCAAAAGTCCTGGGGTGGAGTCCCTCAAACAAACCTCCAAATCACCCACTGCTTTGTAGGTCAAGCTATTGAGCCAAAAGCCCCGGGTGGAGTCGCTCAAGCAAACCTCCCAAGCACATCCGCTACCTCGCGTGCGATTGCCGACCAATGCAATCGTATGCCTGCGCGCAAAACACTCAGCATCGGGTGCTGGAACGTGCGCACACTACTGGACCGGAACCGCAGTGAGCGCCCGAGCGACGCACTGCACTGGTCGCGATGGAACTGTCGCGCTACCACATCGATATTGCGGCGCTCAGTGAGACTCGGTTCGCTGAGCAAGGCAGTTTGCATGAAACAGGTGCTGGCTACACATTCTATTGGGTGGGCAACGCCGCCTCAGCACCACGGGAAAATGGGGTCGGATTTGCAATATCCGATCATCGCAATGGTCAGCTGGTGGGGAAACCAACTGGCATCAACGCGCGGCTGATGACTGTTCGAATACGACTCGAAAGAGGTAAGTTCGCAACTTTTATAAGCAGTAAGGTCCGACCATGTGCTATCCTGAGGACGCGCGTGATCACTACACTACACTACACTCAGTTGTCCTCCGTGATATGGTTTGTGCCGAGGAGCGACCGACTATTTCTGCTCGGTGATTTCAACACGCGCGTTGGGCGTGATGCATCGGTGTGGATAGATGTCATCGGTCCGTATGGCATTGGTTCAGCTAATGCGAACGGTGACAGGCTGCTCCCACTACGCGTCACTGACGGTCTGACGATCACGAACACTCGGTTTGCACTGAGTGCGAGTGTTGTAGCGACTTGGACGCACCCACGGAGTGGTCACGCTCACCTGCTCGACTATGTCATCGTACGTCAGCGTGGCGTGCGTGAAGTACGCATAACACATGTACTGCGTGGAGCTGAGTGTGGCACTGATCACAAATTGGTTCGGACCAAACTGTACATATATTTTCGTAGAGCTATGTATTGCACTCCCGCCGTGAATCGGTGTAAATTTAGCATCCTCTTCCTCGGTACTGTGACAAAACGTATTGAGCTGGAAAAGGCGATGGCTGCATGACTGTGTGATGTGGAATGCATAGCCACAGTGGGCGACCTGTGGCACTACATTCGCGATCAGATGACAGCCGCTGTCGAGGAGACCATCGGGTGCGCAAACTGTAAGCGGCCCGATTGGTTTGAGGAGAACAATGAGACGATTGGCGAATTGGTGTCTGAAAAGAATGCAGCCTTTACCGCACATGTGGCAGACCCCAGTGACTTGGGGAAGAAGAGAAAGTTTGGCAGAATTCGACTGCGACTGAGTTGAGAGCTCCGTCGCATTAAAAATGCATGGTAGACGGAGAATGCGGAGCAGATGGAATGCTACGCCGAACGCCGCCAACACAAGGAATTCTTTGACTCTTTGAAGGCGGTGTATGGACCGAGATTGGAACCGCTGAGGACACTGATCGATGGTAGCTCAGACGCTACATGCACATAGACTGCAGACAAAAAGAGGATCAGGCAAAATCATTTTGATCGTCTCTTGAACAACTGTTCAGAGATTGACTGGCCTACATTGAACGGTCGTAAGCAGCACGATGTGAAGGTTAGTTTGGCGGACACGTCGACAGTGGATAAAACGCAAAGAACACTTGCTCAGCTGCGAAGCGACAAGTATGCCGGTGCTGACGGGATTCCGCCTGAAGTATTGAAACACGGCGGACCCGCGTTGGTGAATGCGCTGCACCAGTTGGTACAACGCGTGTGGATTGAAGAGGAGGTGCCCCTTGAGTTGAAGGATGTTCTTGTGCTACCAATGTACAAGGGCAAAGGAAGCAAGCAATGATATTCAGGTGCTGAGTTGTGAGGGCAAGATAATTGCCCGAATCCTGCTCAACCGCCTTGGCAGTCAGGTTGTGGAATCTAACGTGGCGGAAGAGCAATGTGGATTCCGTTCGGGTCGCAGCACTGCAGATATGGTGTTTACGGCTCGTCACCTGCAGAAGTGTAGAGAACGACACCAGCCGTTGTACTCTCGGTTTGTTGACTTCACCAAACTGTTTGATACGGTGAAGCGCGAGGCATTGTGGCTGATGTTGGGCAAGTTTGGTTCTCCGCATAAGTTTGTAAGTTTAATTGAATGTCTGCAACACGGTATGGGGGCGAGAGTTCAGCTGAGTGGACAGGCCTCGGATGACTTTGCAGTTGTCTCTGGTGTGAAGCAAGGCTGTGTCTTAGCCCCTGCAATGTTTAATATTTATCTTCATGCAATGATGCCTTGTGCGTTTGATGTGGCTTGTGCTTACGGTGTTCGTGTAGAGCAACGTATTGATGGTGGGTTGCTGTACCTCCGTCGTTTCGGTGTGAGAACCCTAGTTTGTGAGACAACTATCCGTATGCTGCTGTTCGCTGGCGACTGTGCGTTGTTTGCACACAGCGCGGATGAGTTGCAGCACATGATTAGTGGTCTGACTTCGACAGCGGCCAAATACGGGCTCCCCATCAACACAAACAAAACTGTCGATCCCTTTCAGCCTTCACAGGAGGTGCAATCTTCAATATTGCCGCGAATCAGCATTGGTGCTGAAGTATTGGGAAACCACCTCCCGCTTCTGCTACTTTAGGAGTGTGGTTTCAACTGACCAGCAGCTACACAGTGGGCAGCGTATCCGCGTCTAGAAGGCTGCGGCGGCATTCGGGAAGCCAGAACACCGAGTGAGGAACAACCCTCAGCTTACCATTGGCACGAAGCTGATGGTGTACAAATCCATGGTGCTGTTCATCATTTTAATACGACAGCGAAACGTGGTCAATGTAGCGGTGAGATGTGAGATATCTCGAGCGGTTTCAACAACAGTGTCTGCTACGGATTCTGCGTATCGGGTGGTGCGACAGAGTTGCGGATACGGTGTTGCGTCAAAGTGGAATGTATGCATTGGACTGTATATTTTTGCTGAGACACTTGAGGTGGCTCAGTCACGTGTGGCTTATGGATTCGATGCGGATAGCGAAGCAGCTTTTCTTTTATCGGGTGAGTGATAGGAAGCAGCATGTGGGGAAACCGAGGCTTGTTACCAGGACATGATCAAAGTGAGCCTCTCAAGTTCTAACCATGATTGCAGGTCATGGGAATTAAAAGCAGTTGATCAGCGTACATGGCGCAATCTGATCATGAAGGCCGTTGTCGATGTGCAAGGGAAAGCCCTCATGCATGCAGAGAAGAAGCGGTAAGTGCGGAAGCGACAGTCGCCGATAAAGTGCACTCC